CTGCTAGTTTTTTTTTTCCTCTTCATTACAACAATAAATGATGATCGATGTATATGTGTCATAACCTCGTTAATGTGCCCGTTGGCTGAAGAAATATAGTTGTATGCTATTTTAACAAAACAAAACAAAAAAAAAATTGCAAAGTAATGTTAGAACACCTTGCAATGTGTGTTCACTTAAGCGTATTTATGGGAGACAGCACCTTTATATTTTTTTTATGCGTATTTGATTGTGCTTGAATGAACATGGGTATTCACTATGTGAAAGATATCATCCGTTTGATCCACCATTAAGAAATAGAAAAAGAGACTATTTCCCAAGAGTAAATGGGTTGGCTCGATGTAATGAAGCGACGCCTGAAGGCGGGATCTATGCCATTCGATTATTGACAAAGAATGTCTTTCTTTTGCATTGTTTTGTTTTTTTAATTATATAGACAAGTACCTTATCCATTAAGAATATGAATTTCTAGATCAAACGAATAACCGACAAACATTCGCAATTATTTCCTGACGACATGCAAATGAATTCTTTCGTGATATTGAACCGGTGGTATTATTTTCGTTTTTTTTCTTCTTCTTCTTCTTGTGTGCGTGACTTAAACATCAATTTAAGATCTCGTATCGTCTTTTGATGAATGTCTAGTTTCTATTATATTTTTCTTCTTCTTCGTTTCTTTTTTGTTTTTTTTTCTTCTCAACTATGGATTGGAACGACGATGCCAATTAAACGGACGTAGTTCGATTTCCTTCCGTTACTGTCGGTCGGAAGGTGAATGAAAGCAAAGACGAACGATAGTTCAAGTTGAGGAGAATGAATATATAAGAGAAGGATACTTCAACTGATTCTCAAGTAGCAATTTTCTCGTGTTGCTGTCCAGCTCTTGACTTGTGTGCTCTTGAAGAGTAGAAGAAGAAAAAACGATATCATCATCATTCTCAGAGAGATCAATTTTCCATCGTTCACATAACTTTAAGTGTTGTTGTTGTTGTTTGAAAGAAATAGGATCGTATATAAATGATAGAAATAAACATTCGTCACATTTTTTTTTTTCTTAATGTCACAACATTCCAAATATATATTCGCGTCATTAGTTCATATACATAGAGTGAGAAAAAAAATCTAATTAGAAAATTGAATTGTTCGTGCTCATGAACATATCCCTTCTTTTTTTTCCCAATAGAACACCGATCATCATCTATTGAAGAGAAAGTGAGTGAATTGCGTGACCAAGCGTTTCTCTAGTGGTTATGTTTGGGTGACAAACATAGACGATGATGCTGTCAATGAATATGTATATATATATGTACCGATGCTCATGATTTGATTTGATTGGGGACTCTCTGTGTGCGTGTCAATTGAGACAAATTGTCATCATCGACAGACTGGTGCCTAGATTTGAAAAATGAAATAAAATTTTCGTATGTGCAAATTTTTCTTTGAAAGACGAGACGATTCTTTGTGTTCGGTGTCTGTCCGGCAAGACTCAAGTCAATATTTACTTATAGTCTTTACTAATCCTTTATTCTATGTATGTCACGCGCTCAAGGCAAAGTGAAGGTCGTTCACTTAACACATCTATGCTCATTATAAGCTTAGTAAAAAATAAAGGAAAAGGATTGTACAACAACATTGTTAATTGATAAATGATATTTAGATTGGTACTTATTCACGATCAATTAGATTTTCTCGTGAATAGATTCTTTTTGTTTTTTTAGGAATCAATTATTCAAAAAAAATAAGGCTTCTGCCAATATTTCTTTGATGTCAAAGATGAATATCAACATATTTTTAAGCTTTGATTTTATTTAAATAAGAAAATAAAACAATTCATATAGAAGTGAAATTGTTAGAAGTATCTTCAGGGTGTCAAGATTGAAGAGGAACACCTCAGAGAATATTGTTAAAAGAAATAAGAAAATATTTAAATCAATCAATTTTTTTTTTTGTTTTCGAATTTTTCTTTACAATCTACTGCCATCTATGAAATTATTTATCGATATATTGTGACATCTATCGATAGACAAATATAATCGTACTTATTGAATATTTACACGAAAAACAATCATTACTTTCAATGTTTAACAATGTTTTAAATAACATATTGAAATTAATTGTCCACGTTTTCTTTTTCTTTTGCATTTTATCATGTCAATATTAGTATATTTATTTTAATGTATATAGATATTGAAATCTTACCTGTGCAAAATAACTAATTATATCATCGATACGTAGCATATTATTATGCCTATCTACACAGCTAATGTTGTGTGATATTTGACGTTAAATTAAATAAAATTTTTACATTCCATAATTTAGTTGCTGTTGTTGTTACGTTTGGTTAGATCAAGAAAACGACAGGTTCGACATACTATATTTTTCTTCGTTATTCGAAGTTATGAATGTTCGTAATATATATATGTATGTATGTGAATAGTAGTACTTGTCGACACAACAGCATCCATTCAAAATATACAATATATTCAATTGAATTCACCAGTATTTGTAGTAGCAGCTTCTTTTTTTCTCTCCGTGCTTTCAAAGCACCCACATACACACGACACAAAAGCCGCTTAGATACGGTTGATTGAAATGGCAGTTGCTCTGTCTCTTTCTCTCTTTTTCTTTTTTTTTTTTTATTTTTTTCTCTCTCTCTCCCCTTTTTTTTGACCCACATGAGTTGTCTTTATGTGTCGTCGTCGTTGTTGAGTATAAAGGATACTCTTCACTTCTCCTGTGTGTCCCTTTTGTTCTTATGTCCTCTCCTTTTGAAATCAACACAACAATAACACATCCATATATTCATGAGGCAGTCAAGCAGGCGAATGAATGAATGAATGAATGAATGAATGAATGAAAAGAATGAAAGAATGAATGAATACATGAATGAATGAAAAAAAAAAGAAGGAAGGAAGGTTGCCCTATAGGTATTCTGCATAATAGTGGAAGACGAGTAAAGAAATCTTTCATCTCATCTATGCCTACCTGATCTATAAAATTGTTGAGGCATACACATACAAATCTAGCATGATGTGAAAATGATTGTTCGCTTTTGTTTTATATGTATGTGCCTTAAGCATGAAAGAGGAACGAAAAAAAACCCTACTGAATAGTTAATAAAAGAAAAATATCATAATCTTGATATATAAAAAAATTGAACTAAAAAAAGAAATATAAGTTGGCAGGTCGTTAAATTCCAGTGACAAGTTCAAATTCTTTTTCTATTCATTATTATGACAATTTTTTCTATCTTCATTCAATTTCTTTTTAATTATATAATCTTCAAGAAAAAAAAGGAGACATGAAAATATAGTTGTCATTGTTTTCTTGAGAGTTTCTAGTAATTAAATCTTAAAGAATTCTATGTAAAGTTAACATTGATAAGTTGCATTCACTATACTTGTATTAAAGTTCATTGATATTTTCTAATATGTTCATTCGTCCGGAATATTTATTCAAATGAGAAATTCATCTAAAATATCGCTCATAATTGATCATACATCGAACCGGTGTGCAGTAGAAATGTGGAAAGAAAAAATATCGAAGGGTAAAAATGTCGAAAAATGAATTCTAACACAAAAAGATGTAAAAATGAGAAATACAAGAAACAACGATGTCACCCATAAATGACAACTCTAAATTCGAACAATGCATGTTTTCTTTTCTTAGAATTGTACTAGTCGAGATTTTTCACCACTAGTAGTAAAGATGACTAATAAATGATAGAGATTAAATAAACAACTATATACGAAGTAAATAAATAACTAAAGTGATAATAGTATGGCAACAAATACGGTATTTTCAAATGACGGAACTCAACCAAAATTGAGTATTTTATTTATTAAATCACAAAAAGGAAAAACTTTATTAGTAGCAAATGAATATACTTTCAAACTAAACAACAACTACAACTACAACTAAATATTGGAAGTGTACATACAATGGTTGCTCTTCTAAAATTCATACATTTTTTTTCTATTAACATATGTTAGTGTTAGCATAAAAAATAAAGAACGTCTCTTCTATTTCAAGATCTTCTAACAAAAATAATGAGCCATTTTCTTAATGTATATTTTTTT